ACACACACACACACACACACACACACACACACACACACACACACACAAATAATGCCAATAACTCTAAATGCATGAAACAAGATGGGGACAGTGCAGTTGTATTATTCAGCATGTTTAAAATGATTAAGAAAGAATCCTCTGTTTTTACGAACACATTTAAATAGTTATTTTTATTTTTAATTATGTGTATAAGTATGTGTTTGTGTGTGGATATATGTAGTACCCAAGGAGCCCAGAAAAGGCACCAGATCCCATGGAGATAGAGTTATGAGCCCCCGGCTGTGGGTGCTGAGAACCAAACTCAAGTCTTCTGAAAGAGCAATACTCTTTTTAACCACTAAGCCTCCAAGCCCTGTGCGCTCTGTGTTTATGTTGTTGTTGATATTGTTGTTTTGTTTCAGGGTTTCACTATATATCCCTATGAGTGTAGGATTCAGAGATCAGCCTGCCTCTGCCTCCAGGTGCTGGGGCTAAAGATGTGCAGCACCATACAAACCATTACTTTGTATGCTAACATAAAAAAGTAATTAAAGCAATTTTAAACAGGCCCTGATTAAAAATCTTTCAAACATAACAGCTTCTCCATCTGCTCCCCACACCCAGTCTTGGTCCTGGTGCAGCTTCGATGTCCCTTCTCCTTAGGCCCCGGTCGATCACACTAAGTAGGGCCACCTGCTAGTATTCTTAGGTCATAAATACTGTAGTTCTTTCAGTTGCTTGTCTCCTTTCTAACAAGTGTAGCTGGTTTTGTTTGTCATCAATTCTGTTACGCATGTGCAGCAGACACTCACTGTTTTCCTTACATGAGCAAATATTCTTATTTATTTTTCTATACTTCCTCATTACTTCAATATAGACTTGAAGTCGTTAGTCATGAGTCACCTTTGTACTTCCTCCCAATGTCTGGTGTGACACCTTACAGAGAGTACAGACTGAGTCAGTCTCAAGGATGGAGACCTGTCCTCTCTCTCCTGACTCATGGCAGCGGGAAGCCCTGTAAGACTCTGCACTTAGTAGGTACAGAGCTCAGTAGACCATCGCCCTTTCAGCTTCCTGAACCATTCTCTCCATTCAGTTCCGACTTAGTCTCCCTCATTTCTCTTTCCAGATAATGACAATGTTTTTTAAAGGCCAACCGTCTGAAAGACTTTGGAAATTTACCCTTCAGGACTGAGGAAGTAGTTTAGTGATAGAGCATGTGTGTGGCATGTGTGGGGTCCTGGGTTCAAACCTCAACACCACGAAGAAAAAAACAGAGAGAGAAAATCCAACCTCCATTATTGATAGGAAGACCTGACAGGGAAACAGGGACAGGAGAGTTGGGGGCAGGGGAGTGGGGTGGGGTCAGCCTTGGCCTCCATCACAGCACCCCTGAAGCTTCAAAGTTTAAATTCAGTATCTGCTCGGCCACGGTGATTCTCATTCACAGACATTAATAAGCAGATCTGGCTGAGAACAGAGAGAGACAGAAGTCAAGTGACTGCTGACTGTAGGTGCTTGCTCATGACTTCTGAAGCAGAGGGACTCGAGGTGTTAGGGAGTGGGAGCCTAGGGCTGAGGACACAGCCCCAGCATGAAGGCATCAGGCCAGGATGAGTGAGGCCACTCAACGTGAGACTTCGGCATGACGAGAGCTCATTTCCTCATGACATCACGAGGAAATCTCAGAACCGTTCAATTTTAACGTCCCCAGATGACACAGGATTGATTCTCTAGCAGGTTAGCTGGTGCAGAAGGTATGCCTTTGACTCATTAATCTTCATAACAACTGGCAGGAAAATGCCAGGGGCGGGGTGGAGGGGAAGAACACATCCTCGCATATGTGAGGTCTTGAGTTCAAACCCTACCACTGTTTTTAAAAAATAGTTTTGAAAAGAAGAAAAAAGAAAGGACGAATGTTTGGAAAGAGAAGATGCAGCCTAGCAAGAAGTTTTGGGGGTGGGGGGGCGGGGGGTGGGGTGGGCGGGGAACAATGGGAAAAGAAAAGTTAAGTGTGGTACTGTGTATCTATAATTCCCACACTCAGCAGACTAAGGCAGGAGGATTGCATCAATTACAACTACTGCTAACTGGGACTACAGATTATGATCCTCAAGAAACACAAACCACGGGACTGGAGAGATCGATCGGTGGTTAAGAGCACTGGCTGTTCCTGCCCAGGACCTGGGACCCACGTGGCAGCTCACAATTGCCTGTAACTCTAGTTCCAGGGAATCCAACAACCTCTTCAGGCCTCCTCAGGTACTATGCATGTGAAACACATATATTTCATGCGTGCACATAAAATAAAAATAAATTAAATTTTAAAAAGAAAAAAACAACTGTGTTTGATCATATTAAAAATGTACAATTAATAAGGTGGTTTAACCTGGTGATTCTGGTGGCATCCACCTGAAATCTTAGTTACTCTGGAGGCTTGCAGCATGGGAATCAAAAGTAAGATTTGGTCTTAAAATAAAAAGTAAAAGAGAACACTGTATATTAGCATAGCAGGCTTGCCTTGCGTATGCAAGACCCTAGGTTCAATCTTTAGCCTTAGAACTATGGGAGGAAGAAGTGGGAGGGAGAGAGGAAGAAGCAAAGGGAGGAGGAAGATGAGAAGGAAGAGGAGGAACGTTGGTACACTGGCAGGAACATCCAGAGTAATAGGACAGGGCAGGTTCTACATGGTACCTTCAATAAACGGTAGTGAGACAATTTACTATAACTTAGAGAAGGTAAAGTTAGTTTTCTATCCTACATTTTCACCAAAAGATCTTGGGTATTTCAACTTTTCCAGAATACAGGCTAAAAGATATCATCATAATATCCCATGTAATATAAAAACAATACCTGAGTATATCCCAGTTTCCTAAAATAAACCTGTGATTTATTCATAGAATTGGACAGAATGCAGTTGTTGAAAGATGTTCAGGAGATCTGGATGGACTAGTGGAAAAAGTTGGAAAATGTCCAAAACATATTTTTAGATGATTAAAAACAAGATATAGTTTTGACAAAATGAGGGAGCCAGAAAGATGACTCAGTGGGTAAAGGCACTTGCCACCAAGACTGACAACCCACATGGTACAGGGAGAGAACTGACTTCACAAAGTTCTGGCCACCACGTGCATGCCAGGGCACACCCCCACCACATTGTATGTACACATCAAAATAGATAAATGAATAGAGTGCTTTATGCACTTATTGTTTTATTTTTTTAAGACTGAGAATTGAGTCCATGGCTTCATCTATGCCAGTCAGGGACTTCTCTACTGAGTCACATGTCTAGTGTCTGTCTCTGTCTGTCTGTCTGTCTGTCTCTCTCTCTGGTGTATGTGTAGGTGTGTTTTAAAGAGAACATTCAAACACAGTTTTTCTGGAAGGATAGAATAAAAGAAATCTAATGCTGTTTATCCCTGAAGACAGAACGAGGAAAGCAGGAAGAAAGATTCATTATTATTTTATTACATTTATTTATTTGGAAGGAAGCACACACCACGGATCTTGTGTGGAGGTTTGTGCACAGTCAGTGGGAGCCATTCCCATCCTACCATGAGGGTTCCAGAGATCGAATTCAGAGTAAAGCTTGGTGACAGTCTCCTTTCCCCTCAACTAACTCTTATCCCAGAGGCAAGATTTTTAGTTTTGCTATTTAATCTTTAGGTGTTGCCTGAAGTTACTGTCAAAAGTGTGGATCAATTTTAGAAAAAAATAAAGCAAGAAACAACAATAATAACCAGTAAAGGAAGGAGAGGGGGACAAGGACGTGTTTTCAGATTTCAAATCTTTGAAAGGTAGCTGTTAGCACAGATAAATCTTGATTGCATGTCCAGACTGCATTCTAGAATCATCCACCCAGGGAACCGTATCATCTTGGTCCAGAAGGGGTTCTTACTATTTAGTACAGAATCTATCTATACAGCTGCAGCAAGCACAGTGGCCCATGCTTCCTAGGACTTTGCCATCACAATGAAAAGATCACCTAAACACACAGAGCCCTGGAAACCATGATATTAGCAGTGAGGCACACAGAAGACAAGGACCAGGGCTTTAACTTGGTTGACAAAGAAGACTCAAAGGAAGCTGTCAGTCACAGCATCTGTGAGAAACCAGGCTTAGAAGAAGTAACTCATAGAGCCAGTGGCAGGGTCAGGTGGGGGTGGCACAGCCTTACCTTGTAGTGGCTGATGGCATTTTCAATGGAGAGCTCAACATGGGTCTGGTGTTCGGGGGACTTGAGGCATTCCACACACAGGAGATGTCTGCTTGCCTCACAGAACATGCACACCCTCTTCTGGTGGCTGAAGCAGATATAACCGTCCCCAAGGACCCCCTCAGAGTAGGGCTTCCTGCACACTGGGCAGCGGAGGAACCCAGAGACTGAGGCTTTATCCATGTGCTGGGTCAGGCACATTCGGCAGAAGAGGTGGCCGCACTCTGTCCTCACAGCCTCCTTCACGGGATCCAGGCAGATGGGACAGATGTCCTCCTTGTTGTCCTTGTACAGAGGAACCATGGCCCCCACCTCACCAGCCCCTCCACTGGGTGATTTGCAGGTCAGAGAGTCCCAGGTGAGAGGGCTCAGTGGAGCTGATCTGGAGCAGGCGAGAGTGGACTCAGACCTGGACTTCAGGTCCACCCTGGATCAGAGAGGCCAGAGCCTGGGCTGTAAGAAACTCAACCTGGCAGGGATTTCAGAAACAGTTCAGTGCTTTCTAAACTTAAAGTTATTCTTTATTTCTCAGACACCTCGAGGAAGCAGGCGACCAAAACCCCAATTCTGTTTTGTGAGTTTTCTGTGGAATCTTTTTAAATTTTAGGCCATGGTGTCATGGCCAGAAGTAAACTATCAAGGACAAGCAGACAGTCTTCTCTACTGTGTGGCTGAAGAGAAGAACTCAGCAAGAGATTTATGTGTCCCTCCTGTCTTGTTACCCTTGAGGGTTCATTGCTATTGCTGGTATCACCAACCACTTAAGGTGGAATCTTGTCAGCAAGTCTTTATTAACCCCTAAGTTTTCCAATACTGCAGTGCTGTCAAGATGAAAGAGAAAGAGAGCAGGAGAGAGACAGAGAGAGACACGCAGAGAGAAACAGAAACATAGGGAGACAGACAGACAGATAGACAGACACACACACACAGAGAGAGAGAGAGAGAGAGAGAGAGAGAGACAGACAGACAGACAGACAGAACATATAATAGTATCTGAGGCTACATTGTCCCTTTCTTTCAAAAAACTTCTAAGGATGACCCAAAGAAGGAAGTGCCTCCTCTTTCCGCTTCTTGTCTGAGCCCTCCCAAAAATAGCTCTCTTACTATCCTACCTCAAATTTCTTCTTTTCAGCTTCAGATGATTTCCTTGGTCTCCAGACTGAGGGAGAAGGCCAGCAGAAGAGCAAGTCTTCTTCAGTTATGCCAGTTATATATACCCACACGTCAGTAGAACTGGGGAGAAGGTGAAAAGACTCATCCCGATTTAGCCCAGAATTATCAGGATAAGGAAAATACACCCATGATCAGGGTTCACTGAACAGCAACATGGACTTTGCTGCAGGGTGTGGCATATTTGCTTACGGGAAGAGGAAAGTCTGGATGCCTTTAACGCAAATCTCACAGGACTTGAGAAATGCCTTATAGAATGAGTCCCAAGAGCCCCACACATGAGGGACCAGGAGTTCTGGTTGTGCCACAGGACCGTGCACCTGGGTGATGCTGGGGACAGTGATACCATTGTTCTTAGTGGTCTCAGCTTCAACAGTGGCGGTGCCCAGGGTACCACTAGGTATTTATTTCTCTTCTTGTTGTTGTGACCTGAGGGAGGAGGGGCTTATTTGGGTTTACAGTTTGACATTACTGTCCATGGTGGAGAAAGCAAGGGGGCAGCAGTGGCTGGAAGCTGTGGCGGCAGCAGTCTGAGGCTGCAGCTCACTTGGGTGGGTCATGAAACTGAGATACCAGTGGTGCCCAGCTGGCTTTCTCCAGAGCCCTTTCCCTTTTAGACTGAGTTCCCAGCTCAGGGAACAATGGCATCCACTTGAGTGTAGGTCTTCTCCCTTCATTTGAGTCTCTCTGGAAACATTTGTATCCACACACCCAAAAGTGTTCTTCAATGATGCCCTAGGCAGTTCTACACCCCCGCCCCCCATTCTGAAGGCTGTTGCCCACTCTGCATCAGGGAAGCAGGGTTATATCTTTCCATCCTTTCATACCCTTTAAAGCTAGCCTAGTGTTGAGTACCTTAAGCCTTCCATCGGAAACCTGCAGTCCTATGAGAGAAACGTGAAAGGTGTCAGTGAACAAATGAAATGGATTTATGTCACCCTGACAACAAGCAGCATCTCTTTCTCTTTTGGAGAGTGGGGGGAGTCACAGTTGAGGCAGAGTCTCATGTAGCCCAGGCTTCCCTTGAACTCTTGATGAAGCTGAGGATGACTTTTGACCTCTAATTCTCCTGCCTCTGCCTCCCAGGTTTTGAGATTACAAGCATGACTGCCCATGCTGGGGGTGGAACCCAGGGCTTTATGTGTGCTGGACACCTACTCTGCAGCTGACTACATCCCCAGCACCATCATTCAGATTTAAAAAAAAATTGTATTGACAATTATAAACATACTCCTGTGATATTTTATCAGTTTACACGTACAGTGATGACTGACACTTTGGATCTCTGATGGTCCTTCTTGGATTCTCTTTGTTAACTCTTGGTTCTTTCCCTCCAAGTGGGACTTTGATGCTGGTGGGACACCCGCTACTTTAAAGAGAATCACGGGACCCTTTCCATTGGCTATCAGACTAATTGGCCCCCAAAGAATTAAAAATTTTCTAGGACCTCACACTGGAGGAGGGAAAGAATGAAGCTTCTTGTCAGTCAGCAAAAGAGGTTCACACAACTCTGCAGCCTCACTTCACTAATGATTTGTTTGCATTTGCCTATTCCACTGCTCTAGAGACGTCTGCAGAGCACGCAGTCTGTGATTTGTCATTCATCATTTCACTCTAAAATAAGATTTCAGACCTGCCACGTGAGCTCACGTGCACCATTATGCCCTGCTGCGTTAGTTTTGTAGGTGACCTATGACACCTACTGGCAAGTAATGGTTATTGCACCTAATCCAGCTAATTAAACCATAGATAAGATTTAATATCCTAAATATAGATCATAAGTTGCTAATTTAAAAGGACAATATGTTAGAAAACCTAACAGTCCAAGGTTCCAATAGCCTCTTTACTTACAGCATGAGTGAGGTTTTTCAAGACTTATATGATGTCCCTTCTACATCATTAATCTTAATTCTGGGGATTAATTTTGTTGTCAATATTTTTTTCTTAAAAAATGGCTTGACAATACGGCTAAGAATGAGGCGTTTTTAGAAATGGTGCAGTCATTACAGACTGAAACCATGTTTCTCAAGAAAGAGTTTGGAAATATGAAGAAGATTATGACTTCATTTAATGGAAGATTAAGCACTCTGGAGAAGAAAACAGATGATTTGGCACATAAAACCCAATCAATGACATTGGGTGCTGAAACATTATTTGAGAGAATTTGCACTGTTGAATGTATTAATCAGACACTGTCAAAGGGGTGTGAAAGATTGACTGATGAAATGTCTCAACAGTTATGTAATATGTATGCTATTAAGATTATGTCCAAGGATGAGACATTATCTTTACTGGACAGACTTCATACCTTGGAATCCTCAATGAGGGCATTAGAGCAGAACACTGGGAATTGGAACCTTATCTCGGGTAAAACAAGTACGAGATGGGTTGAATGCAAAGAGCCAGAAGGTGAAATAGCAAGACTAAGGCCGTATATAGCCAATGTTGTAGTGAATCTGTGAGGTCATGACCTATTGCAGCAGTGGAATATCCAGATTTACATAGCTGCAGCTCAAAAACTTAAGTTTCTGAGGAAAATGTTAGATTATAGACGATAGACACCAGCCATTCAGGCTGTATAAGAACACAAAACAATTGATAAACCTTCAGAGGTACCAATGAAAGCAACACATAAACAGAAGGAACTCCCACACAGGCCAGCCATTGAAAATAGTTCGTAGTTTTCTAAGTCTATAACTTACCATTACATGGATGATATTTTGTCATCTGATTCAAATATATACACGTTAGAAAAGATGTTTGAGGAAGTAAAGAAAGTCTTGCCTAAATGGGGATTACAATTGCTCCTGAAAAGATTCAAAGAGGAGATTCTGTTAATTACCTAGGTTACATAATAGATTTACAGAAAATTAGAACACAAAAGGCAGAAATTAGGAGAGACCGATTACAGACTCTTAATGACTTTTAAAGATTGTTAGGAGACATTTTCCATCTATGATCAACTGTTTGGATAATACCTGATCTAATAATTCATTTAAATAAAATCTTAGATGGTAATAAAGATTTGAATAGTCCCAGAGAATTAACAACTGAAGCAGAAAATGAATTGACAGCGGTTGAGGAAAAATTACAGGAGGCACATGTGGATAAGGTAAATCCAAATCTTGTTTGTATTCTAGTCATATTGCTTTCCAGAATTTCTCCTACAGGAATTTTAATGCAGAGGGATGATATTATCTTAGAATGGATCTTTTTACCACATAAACCAAGTAAAAATTAAAAACTTATGTGGAAAAAGTCTCTGAATTAATTATAAAAGATAAATTGAGACTTCGTCAACTAGCAGGCATAGACCCAGCAGAAATATAGTGCCTTTCACTACTGATGAAATAAAAAAGTTATGGGAAAACAATGAACCATGGCAAAGGGCTTTTACTAATTTTTTTGAAAAATTAACAGCAACTATCCCAAAAGTGATAGACTTAACGTTATAAAGAGAACTTCTTGGATCCTTCCTCAAATTGTACATGATGCACCAATAACTGGAGCCCATACATTTTATACTGATGCAAATAAATTAGGGAAGGCAGGTTACAAGTCAGAAGCATTAAGTAAGGTGGAACAAAGCCCTTATAATTCTGTCCAGAAGGCAGAATTATATGCTATTCTTATGGTACTAAGGGATTTTAAATAACCTCTCATTATAGTTACTGATTCACAATATGCAGAAAGAGTTGTCTTGCATATTGAAACTGCTGAATTTATACCATATATGATACAGAACTGACTTCATTGTTTATTCATAAAAAAATCACATCAATAGCAAAGGTTTAAAGAAAGAGTTTTCTTTTTTTTAAAATATTTATTTATTTATTTATTATGTATACAGTATTCTGTCTGTGTGTATGCCTGCAGGCCAGAAGAGGGCACCAGACCTCATTACAGATGGTTGTGAGCCACCATGTGGTTGCTGGGAATTGAACTCAGGACCTTTGGAAGAGCAGGCAATGCTCTTAACCCCTGAGCCATCTCTCCAGCCCCCAAGAAAGAGTTTTCTATTACATGGCAACAAGCTAAGGAGATTATAAAGAGATGCCCTACTTTCTCTTTCTATAATCAAACACCATTGCTTGCAGGAAGTAACCCAGAGGGTACTCAAAGGAATGAAATCTGTCAGATGGATGTATTCTACTTTGCAGAATTTGGAAAATTGAAATATGTACATAACACCATAGACACGTATTTAGGTTTTCAATGGGCAACTGCCTTGAGTTCAGAAAAGGCTGATTCAGTAATCACACATTTATTGGAAGATATGGCCATCATGGGTATACCTGCACAAATAAAGGCAGACACCATTCCAACATATGTATCTAAGAAAACGAAACACTTTTTTGATTATTATAATATAAAGCACATTACAGGTGTACCAAATAATCCTACAGGTCAGGCAGTTATAGAAAGTTTAAATCATACTATAAAGAATGTGTTGAACAAACAGGAAAGAACAAAAACACTTCCATAAATAGATTGCATAATACTTTATTAATCTTTAATTTTCTTAAGGCTAATGAGAAAGGAACAGCAGCAGTAGAGAGGCATTGGATAATGGAAAGAACTTCTGAATTGAATCAACCAGTATATTTCAAAGATGTGTTGACCTCATAATGGAAACCAGGAGATGTATTACTTTGGAAAAGGGGTTTTGCTCTTGTTTCCATAGGAAAATAAAAATTATGGATACCATCAAATTAATAAAGATTTCGTTTGAAGAGGAGCAACCTCTTGAAAAGGAGAAATGACATCTCATCCACAATGGTGATAAGGTGATAAGGTACCATCCATACAGTGGATGGTAAAAAAAGCATATTGGATGGGGGCAGGGTTCTGTTCTTGTCTTTGCAGGACAATACTCATCTTCAAAAAAATTAAGAGATCTTGGATGTTTGAATGCTGACAGAAAAAAATATCTACCCACTAAGGAGCAGAATATGGTTTATGAATCCAGGAACTGTTTACACTTACATTTACAAGCACACGTGCGCACACACACACACAGCTGGTTTTGGAGTTGAACAATGGCTCTGTACTTCTCTAAATTCAATTTTGTTGTTAAAAGGAACATTCAGAGTTTCTGTCTCATAGCAGGAG